GGTATGGAGTGTTGGTTTTGCAAGATGGAATGAGGCTTGTGATGGATGGCGGTGATGGTTGCACAACATTATCCAACCAAACTGTACACTGAATTTCTTTTTTGTGTGTGTGACTGGGGTTTGAACTCAGGACTTCAGGATTGCAAAGCAGTCACTACTGCTTGAGCCACTCCTCCCATCCATTTTGCTCTGGTTATTTAGGAGATGAGGGTCTCAAAATCTCTTTGCCTGGGCTGGCCCTGAACTGGATCCTCTGGATCTCACCCTCCTAAGTAGCTAGGATTACAGGCATGAGCCACTGGCACCCAGTTGAATTTTTAATTTTAATTAAGAATTCATTTTGCAGTGCTGGGATCAAATCTATAGCTTCATATGATAGGCAAGTACTCCCAAAATGGTAAAATTTTTTTTTGGTGTTGGGGTTGTACTCTGCCACTTGAGTCACTCACTCTGCCAGCTAAAATGGTAAATTTTATGTTATGGTATTTTATTCCAATTATAAAGAGTGTAGAGGGATTCCTTTCCAGAAGCCATATTACAATGATGACATCACCTCAGATAAGCCCTGCTCATCCCATCTCACCATCCCATCCCATCCCATCCCATCCCCACCCTCTGCACCAGGCTCTCCCCTGGATCTATTTGAGAGCTGTGGCTTCCAGCTGTTCTCTTTTTTCCTTTTCTTTTGGCAGTACTGGGGTTTGAACTCAGGGTCTACACCTTGAGCCACTCCAGTAACCCTTTTTTGTGATGGTTTTTTTTGAGATCGGGTCTCACGAACTATTTAGCTAGGAACCATGATCCTCCTGATCTCTGCCTCCTGAGTAGCTAGGATTATAGGTGTGACTCACTGGCAGCCTCCTGAGTAGCTAGGATTACAGGTGTGACTCACTGGCACCCGCCCCAGCTGCTATCTTAAAGCTACATCAGTTCCAGCTCAGCTCAGCATTAGTGAGGCTGGTCGAGTGCTTAGCGGTGTTCAGGTAAGTCTTGAGTAACCCTCGTTTGTGGAAGACAGGGCAGGGTGGTTCCGGTAGTTTGAGGAGACTTCTGTAGTCCCTGTGTCACTCTGTCCCCCAGGTGAAACTGATGGAGTTTGGAGCTGTGTGTGTGAGAAGGAGGGTCTGGGTAGTATGATTTTGTATATATGTTTGGCAGTACTGTTTTTTACACCTTGAGCCACTCTTCCTTTTTTGTGATTTTTTTTCTCAAGATAGGGTATGTGAACTATTTGCCCAGGCTGGGTCTGAACTGTGATCCTCCTGATCTCTGCTCCTGAGTAGCTAGGATTACAGGCACGAGCCACTAGTGCCCAGCTTTGGTACTCGGGTTTGAAGTCAGGGCCTCATGCTTGCTAGGCAGGCTGTCTACCACTTGAGCCACTCCACCAGCCCTATTTGTGTGTTAGGTATTTTTGAGATAGGGTCTCTTGAACTATTTGTCTGTGCTGGCTTCAAACCAAGATCCTCCAGATATTTGCCTCCTGAGTGGCTAGGATTATAGGAGTGAGCCACAGGCACCCAGTAATTTGTTTTTTATTCACAATTTCTGACTCACGTCTCCCTCCACAAGCAGGTCGTAGGAATTAGTAACTCTCTTCCCCAGGTCAGACACAGAAATTCTAAAAAGGGGTCCTGGTCCATATCTGGGAGGAAGGAATGCTGCATGGGGAGGTCAAGAAGAATCCCAACGGACAGGCCTTGCTGGTTTCTCTCAGTCTATTAGATCCTCCCTTTTTGTACAAAGTCATTTCAGTGTGGTTGTCCATGGTTCAGTTAGGTTCAAGCAGCGGGGTCTCCATCAAATCCAGAGGGACACGGTGCAGGGGGCTCTAGCCGCGGAATGCCAGGAAGCACGCAGGAAGGTAAACAAGGATGCACATGGGTTCCATGGGGGGTGGCAACTCCGAGTCCTGAGGAACGGGAGCACCCCAAACTTTGGACCCTTCTGGATCTTGTCCTGGGTCTTTCTTTACTTGGTTGTTTGTTCGAATCCTTTGAAATATTCTTTATAGTAAAATATCCTTTAGAGTTAATCAAACTGTATGAGGGAGGTCATGGAAACCCTAATTTGTAGCTGGTGGATCAGAAGTTCTGGAGGAAGGGACTTGTGACTGGGTCTGAATTGGGGGCCAATCTTGGTGAAGGAGTCCTTATCCTGTGGGATCTGATGCACCCTTCAGGAAGACAGTGTCAGACTGAGTTGGATTAAAGGATGCCAGAATTGGGTGCTTGCTTGCATGGGTGGAGAGAAATCCCCACTCCTTTTGGGGTTACAGAAGTGGCGGGTGCTATGAATGTACAATAGGAGAAACTGAGTCTGGTTTCCCCCTGCCTACCCTAGAGGTTTGGATCAGATGTGTCTGGGGGCTTTTATACCTATTTCCTCACTTGTGTTCAAACAATATTATCAAGGCTACCCCTATACAGACTTTATGGTGGGTGGATCACTGATTTTAGTCAGTCACCCCATGTGGGTTCCACATTTGAGGGTTCAAGGGAAAAAAAAGTGAGGCTGGGGATGTAGCTCAGTGGTAGAATGTGTGCCTTATATACAGGGATGAAACCCCAGCACTGCCAAAAAAGAAAAAAAAAACCAAAAAAACCCCCAAAACCAAAAGTATATAAGAGGATGTGTCTAGATTCTAGACGAATGCTATGCCATTTTATGTAAGGGCGTTGGATCTCGGTGTCCTGTCCTAGGACCAAGTCATCCCAGATTCTGAGGACTGTAATGTGATGACTGGTTTACCACACCCAACAACTGTACAAAGCTGGCTGTCTTATCGTTGGCAGCATTAAAAAAATTGTTAAAATATACAAAAACATAAATTTCTCATTTACTTTTTTGTTTTGGCAGTTCTGGGGTTTGAATTTAGGATTTTATACTGGCTATGCAGGCACTCTATCACTTTAGCCACTCCACCAGCCCAGGACTGGGGTTTGAACTCAGGCTTCACACTTGCAAAGCAGGTGTTCTGCTGCTTGAGCCACTCCTCCAGTCCATTTTACTCTGGTTACTTTGGAGATGGGAGTCTCATGAACTGTTTGCCCAGGGTGGCCTTGAACTCAAATCCTCCAGATCTCAGCTTCCCAAGTAGCTAGGATTATAGGTGTGAACCACCAGGGCCCAGCTCAGAAATTTTTTATTTTTGGGGGTGAGGGGTACTGGAAATTGAAGGTGAGCTATACCCCCAGCTATCTACCTGTCTGTCTATCTATCTGTCTTCTATCTATCATCTATCTATCTATCTATCTATCTATCCATCTATCTATCTACAGCAGTGCAGGTTCACAGCCTAACAAGCCACTTTTTCATGTTGGAAAATTGAAAGTGCTCAATAAGTACTCTCTTCCGTCTTCCAGGTTACCATGGTAACCACCATTCTATTATGCGTTTCCATGGCTTTTACCACTCATACTTCACAGGAATGGAATCCTTCCCCATGTGATTTGTGACTAGCTTATTTCTCTTTAGCATAATGTCCTCAAGGTTCATCTGTGTCCTGTGTTAGAAAATCCTTTCATTTTTATTTTCTTTTTGGTGGAACTGGGGTTTGAACTCAGGGACTCACCCTGGCAAGGCTGGCAGGCACTCTATCTCTTGAGTCACACCTTCCAGTCCTTTTAGCATTAGTTATTTTTTGAATAGGTTCTCACGTTTATGCAAGAGGTGGCCTGGACCACTGTCCTGTTTATGCTTCTCACATAGCTGGGATGACAGGCATGTGCAAACACAGCCAGCTTTTATTGGTTGAGATGGGGTCTTGTGTACTTTTGCTCAGAAAACCACCATCTTCCAGATCTCTGCCTCCTTCCTGATTATGGGTGTGAGCCACTTGGCCCAGCCCCCCCACTTCCCTGTTTTTTCGATAGTGTCTGTTTGTGTAGCACAGGTTAGCTTTGAACTCACCATCATCTTGCCTCTGGCTCTTGAGTGCTGGAATTACAGGCTCATGTCACCACACCCAACTTGGAAATCCTTTTTTAAGGCTGAATAACACTCCATTGTCTGTATCCAGATAATTTTTTTTTTGTGTGGCACTGGGATTTGAACCCAGGGCTGCTCTCACACTTGCTAGGCAGGTGCTTTACCATTTGAGCCACTCCACCAGTCTTGTTTTTGTGTTGCGTATTTTCGAGATAGGGTTTCACAAACTTTGCCCAGACTGGCCTCGAACCTCTATCTTCTTGATCTCTGCCTCCTGAATAGCTAGGATTAAAGATGTGAGCCATGGTGCCTGGCTGTATACCATATTTTGTTCAGCCATGCATTCATGGGTATTTAGGTGGCCACCACCCTTGGCTACTGTAAATATTGCTGCTATGAACACGGTACTTCAAGTATCCCCACTTCACTCCACTTAGGTACCATGGGGTCTTGACTGGGCTGCACTAGGGTATCCACCCCGCCCCCCAACTAATTCCATCTCATTTGTCCCAGCTCCAAATTCCAATTCCGTTCCACTCCACAAGCAAGGAAACAAAGCTACCCCAGTTCCAGGGTCCTTGGCTTGGAAACGTGTATAGTGTGAGCTCTCTGTTCAGCAAGCCACCCAAATAACCACTTCCCATTTATCAGGGCGGGGAGGAAGAAATTATAATTGCACTTTTCCATGCTTTAAAGAGGAAGCAAGAGTGATGAGCTAAGGAGCTTGTGCCAAATCAGTTGAGAGGTAGGGGAGCTGGGTTTGAAAAATAAGCACTCATCTACTCGGCCTTATCATGAAGCAGCTGCTGTGTGCCAGGCACTGTACTGGGAGCTGTTTTGGTCTTTCCAGGAACTTGGTAACTTTGAAATGTGTTAAAATTCTAATGTGTGAAGACACCAAAGCATAAGAAGGATGCCTTCTGCAGCTTGTCCTTTGCTGCCAGCCGCCCTTAATTCCACTGCCTCAAGGAATATGGCATATGTCCAACTCTCATGGCCAAGGCTTGTGAACATTTTTGGCAGCTCTCTTTGTTTTTGCAGATCTTGGCATCTCCCATCACACACCTAGGATGCTGTGGCACTGTGTCCGCCAATTTGGTCAGAAGCTGGTGCGCAGACGGCCCCTGGTACTGGGCGAGGGATCTGAAACTCGCCTGTCCCGCTGTCTGAACACCCTGGATCTGGTGGCACTGGGTGTGGGAAGCACCCTAGGAGCAGGCGTGTATGTCCTGGCTGGGGAGGTGGCCCGAGAGAAAGCTGGACCATCCATTGTCATCTGCTTCTTGGTGGCTGCCCTGACTTCTGTGTTGTCTGGACTCTGCTATGCAGAGTTTGGGGCCCGGGTACCGTGTTCCGGTTCTGCATATCTCTACAGTTATGTCACAGTGGGCCAACTGTTGGCTTTCATCACTGGCTGGAACCTCATACTCTCCTATGTCATTGGTGAGATGATGGGGTGAGGAAGGTGTAGGGAGAACAGAGGACTTAGGATCAGGAGAATCAGAAGAGGGAGGTTAGGGGAGTCAGAGTGGCTTTCACCCTCATTCATGGATGGGGGGTGGGTAGTGTGGGAGGAAGACCCCAATGTCTTTTTCCCTCCTTCCTTCCTCCCTCCCTCTCTTCCTTCCTCCCTCCCTCTCTTCCTTCCTCCCTCCTTCTCTTCCCCTCCCTTTCTCTCCCTTCCTTTCTCTCTTTCTCTTCCCCTCCCTTTTTCTTCCTTCCTTCCTTCCTTTCCTTTCTCTCTTCTCCCCCTTTCTTTCTCTCTTTCTGTCTTCCCTCCTCCCTTTTCTTTCCCTCGCCTCCCCTCTCCTGCTTCTCCCTCTCTTCCCCTGCCCTCCCCCCTCTCTCTCCTTTCATCCCTCCCCTCCTTCTCTTCCTAACTGTCCCTCCTCTTCTCCCTCTCTCATCATTTACCCATGGCACAACCTGCGGACTTACTTCTGTTTTTCTTTTTCTTTTTTTTTTTGGCAGTACTGGGAGTTGAACTCCACCTTGTGCTTGCTAGGCAGGCATTCTATTTGAGTCATACTCCCAGTCCTTTTTGCTCTGGTTATTTTGGGGATAGGATTTTGAGTTTATGCCCTGGTCTGCATTGACTGTAATCCTCCTGTTTATGCTTCCTGGAGAGCTGGGATGACAGGTGCATGCATCCACACCTGAGATGGAGTCTCACTAAGTTTTTACCCTGGGTTGCCTCAAATCATGATCCTCCTGATCCCTACCTCCCACATAGTTGGGATTATAGGTGTGAGCCACTGTGCTTGCTTCTCTTTGTAAAAGGATGTTTCTTTTCCTCCCACTGCAGGTGCGGCCAGCGTGGCCCGGGCCTGGAGCATTGCCTTTGACAGCCTCACGGGGAACCACATTTCCCAGGCCTTTAAGGGTATCTTCTCTCTGCATGAGTCAAGCATCCTTGCTAAGTATCCAGACTTTTTTGCTCTGGGCCTGGTGCTGCTCCTGACTGGTGAGGCAGGAGGCAGGGATGGGGGTAAGGTGGGGAGGGGGCCTAGGGTGGAAAATGCTCCAGGGAGGTGGGAATGGTGGAAGTTTTCCCACCCACCAGATGCCAGTGGCCTCTGCCTTCCCCAGGCCAGATGTCTCCTGTAGGACAAAGTGTTCCCCTAACCACTGACTTAGACTTATCTTCTTCCTCTGTATAAGACCAAAGCTTGTTTAAAACAAATTTTTTTGGCATTTGAGATCAAAGCCAGGGACTTATGTTTGTTAAGTATGTACTCTTCCATGGTGTTCTGTCACATACCCTCACTTTATTTTTCTTTGGTGGGACTGATGTTTGAATTCAGGGTTTCATGTTTGGAAAGCAGGCATTCTACCACGAGCCACTCCCCCAGCCCTGTTTTGTGATAGTTTTTTTCAACATAGGTTCTCTTGAAGTATTTGCTCAGGCTGGTTTCAAACCTTGATCCTCCTGATCTCTGCCTCCTGAATAGCTAGGATTCAGGTGTGAGCTACTGGCTCCCAGCTTTGAACATTTTTTAGTAGGTTTAATTATTGTATTTCCATATGTGCATGTGAAGCATTTCAGTCATACTGACCCCCTCTCACCCTCTTTTACCTTCCCCCTCCCTCACGTTTCCATTCACAAACAGTCCTCCCATTTTACACTTGTGTCATTCATTTTTTTTTTTTTTTTAGGTCTAGATCCCACATGAGAGAGAACATGGGATATTTTCCTGTTTCTCAGTTTGGTTTATTTCACTTAATGTGATAATTTCCAAGTCCATTGATTTTTCTTGCAAATGGCATAATTTCATTCTTTTATGACTGAATAGTACTCAACTGTGGACAGATACCACAAATTCATTATCCATTCATCTGTTGATGAACACTTAGGCTGATTCCATAGCTTGGCTATTGTAAATAGTGCAGCTATAAGCATGGGTGTGTGTGTGTCTCTGTTATATGCTGACTAACATTCCTTTGGATATATGCCCAGGTGTGGTATAGCAGGATCATATGGTGCTTTGTCTTTGGATTCAACAACATCTTTATTAGTGCACAGATCTGAGCAGTGTGAGGTAGAGAGTTACATGTAGTGACTTGAGACTAGAAATATCAACTACGAGTGTCAAATGAGACCAAAACCTGCCATGAAGAAGCTCAGTCTCCTTGAAACACTCCAGCTGAACCAGCACTGAGCTCATTTGGCCGTAATGGTATCGTAACAGTAAGATCACTCAGCAAACACAATAAAGTTGCCCTAATGGCACATGTTACTCAAGATTTCTTTCAGGAAAGGGAATAGAAGAGACATGGAGGCCTTGTCTTAGACTCTCAGGGTATTTTCCCCCCCAAAAGTGCGTAGTAGTAGGTCAAGGGAAATGGCATCTGTAAGATAGGGTGGCAATGATTTCATTTTGCCCAAGGTCCTGCAGAGTTGAGAAAGTGCAGAGCAGCTCATGCCATCCTCACCCCATGTGTAACTCATGGGGAATTTCACCCACTGGGTATCTGCAAGCATGAAGTTCCAGTTCAGACATATGGATCCCTGAGGCTCTCCAGTATGGATATACTGAACAAAACCACATTCCATTTAGGTCCAAGACTGGTCCCAAGCAGGGACTTTCTGCTGCGAAATAAGGTTGGACTTTGAGCTGAAGCTTTCCCACAGTTGCTATTGTAATAGGGCTGAAGCTTTCCCACATTTGCTATTGTAATAGGGCTGTCTGTGTCATGGTACTTTTGGTGTTCAGGTAGACCAGAGTGTTGTGTGAAAGACTTGCCACAGCCAGGCACCGGTGGCTCATGCCTATAATCCTAGCTACCCAGGAGGCAGAAATCAAGAGAATCACAGTTTGAAGCCAGCCTGGGAAAATAGTTCAGAAGACCCTATCTCAAAAAAGCCCATCATAAAAAAGGGTAGGTAGAGTGGCTTGAGGTGTAGGTCCTGAGTTAAAGCCCCAGTACCACACAAAAAAAGACTTAACACATTTTCTGCATTCATAAGGCCTTCATCCAGTTGGTTTTTTTTTTTTTTTGCAGTGCTGGGGTTTAAACTCAGGGCCTTCACTCAGAGTCACTCCACCAGCCCCTTACCCTTGTTTTTGTGATGGGCTTTTTCAAGATAGGGTCTCATGAACTATTTGCCTGGGGCTGGCTTCCAACTGCGATCCTCCTGATCTCTGCCTTCCAAGTAGCTAAGATTACAGGTATGAGCCACCGGTGCCTGGCTGGTCTTTATTGGAGGAATGGTCTTGAACTCAAGATCTTCCTGCTTCTGCCTCCTGAGGGCTGGGATTATAGACATGCATCACCATAGTAGACTTTGGGCTTCTTTTTCATGGCTATTTCCTATTCGTCTTCCCTGCAGGACTGCTGGCTCTGGGAGCACGAGAGTCGGCTCTGGTCAGCAGAGTATTCACAGGGGTGAACCTGTTGGTGTTGAGCTTTGTGGCCCTCTCTGGCTTCATTAAAGGAGATCTGCACAACTGGCAGCTCACACAGCAGGACTATGAGCTGGCTGAGTCTAGGCCCAATGGTACTAACAGGTCAGGAGGCCCTGGGTGGACACAGAAGGGAGTGAGCTCGGAGTCGGTGGGGAGCAAGGTGGTCTCTCCTCATGGTCAGGACTGTGTGTCAATGGAGTGTTGCACTAGAGAGGCTGAGTACCAGCTTCACTGTCCCCCACCCTTCTTTCACAGCAGCTTGGGGCCTCTGGGCTCCGGAGGGTTCGTGCCTTTTGGCTTGGATGGGATTCTCCGTGGGGCAGCCACATGCTTTTTTGCCTTCATTGGGTTCGATTGCATCGCGACTACAGGTAGCATGGTCACTCTGCCCATCAGAGATGTGCACACAGCTTGAGCCACCCTTGGGTGTAGGGTTGGTGGAAGGCTAGCTTGCTGTTGGGGGGTGGGGGAAAGAGGGAAGATGGCTTTATACTTTTGGGTCATTGTGTGCCTTCCTAGCCCAACATCTGCTCCCTCCACGCAGGGGAGGAGGCCCGTCACCCTCAGCGTTCCCTTCCACTCGGCATCGTTATCTCACTCTTCATCTGCTTTTTGATGTACTTTGGTGTCTCCGCGTCACTCACCCTCATGATGCCCTACTACCAGATTCATCCTGAGGGCCCTTTGCCCGATGCCTTTGTCCACATTGGGTGGGCCCCTGCCCGATACGCAGTGGCCATTGGCACCCTCTGTGCCCTTTCTTCCAGGTTGGTACCAAATGCTGGGTCTCTCCCATCTACTGTTGGATTCACAGGCCCTTGAGATTGAGAGAGCACATGGTCCTTTCTTTCCCTCTCTCTCTCTCTCTCTCTAGCCTCCTGGGTGCCATGTTCCCCATGCCTCGGGTGATCTATGCCATGGCAGAAGATGGGCTTCTCTTCCGGAAGCTAGCCTGTATCCACAGCCGCACGCACACTCCCATGGTGGCCACCATCACTTCTGGAGTCATTGCAGGTGAAGACACAAAGCCTTGCTTCAGATCAATTTCCCGAGCTTGGATGTTTTCACTACTCAATTTTTCACCCATCTCTCCACCCCTCCCCCTCTTTTCTGGTTCTAGCTCTCATGGCTTTCCTTTTTGAGCTCAGCGATCTTGTGGACCTCACATCCATTGGAACCCTACTTGCTTATTCCTTGGTGGATTTTTCTGTTCTGGTTCTCAGGTAAGACTCTACTACACCTTGATAATAGGTGTCTGGGGGCCAGGAGGACTGCTGGGTGTTGATCCTTCTGCCTTCATCATGGCTTCATCTGATGTTGGAATGGGGGATTGGTGGTGGTGAAATGGGGGGAGGGGTTGCTGTTAATATTCCCTTCACTCCTGGGCATGGTGGCTCATGTTTGTAATCCTAGCTAGGCAGGAGGTGGAGATCAAGAGGATTGGCGTTCGAAGCCAGCTCAGGGAATAAATTAGTGAGACTCCCACCTCAACCAATAAGCTAGGCATGGTGGTGTACATCTGTCATCCCAGCTAGGCAGGAGGTGTAAATTGGAGGCTCATGATTCAGGCCAGACTGGGAGACCCTATTTGAAAAATAATTAAAGGAAAAAGGGCTGGGGGTGTGGCTCAAGTGGTAGAATACCTGCCTAGCAAGCGTGAGGCCCTGAGTCCAAAGCCCAGTACTGACAAAAAAAATGTTCCCTTCATAACTCTAATTCAGGTACCAGCCAGATGAGAGGCTGAGATCTGGCAAGAATGAGAAAACTGAGAGGGAAGTGCTTGAGATGAAGACAGTTCCTGAAATGATATCTTCGGAACCGAGTTCTGAAGCAGGGAGCTTAGGGATTCTAAGGAACCTGTGTAACCCCACGGATGCCATCCCCACTCTGAAGTCTGGCTGGGTTGTCTATGGTTGTGCCTCCCTGCTTGGTGAGCAGTGGCATTTGTCCTTGGGTAGTTTGAAACTGACAGCATGGGGTGGGAGGCGTCTTTAGCTGGGGAGGAGCTGTGGCCCAAGGCTCTGACATACTTAGGATTTAGACCTGTTCTCCTAACTTGACTTTCAGTCCTCCTGCTGACCATTCTGTGCCTGGTCCTGGCCCAGTGGCCTCAGGATCTGTTCTCTGGAGACCCAGTTTATATGACACTGGCCGTCCTGCTTTTGGGGTTCATTGCTGGGATGACAGTTGTCATCTGGAGACAGCCCCAGAATTCCACTCCTCTGCACTTCAAGGTAGGTTACCTCCTGTTCCAATACTGCTGCCCCTTGGGTGAGCAGACATGCCTGCCTCAAGGTCTAAATGCTCTTTACTGTGCCAGGGAAGTAAAAGTGTAGGAGGAGGACTGATAAACCCAAAGGACGTTGGTGGATGCTCCCATGCCCAGTGCGCAGTACTTAATACCTATCTCTTCTGGGACGTCCCATGGGGTCTCCAATACAAGAAGCCCAGATAGGGCCAGGTGGACCGCTCCCCCCCACCAGGTGTCGGGACCTCTCAGACATCTGGTGTGTCCAGGGACTCATGGGCTTTGTCCTCAGGTCCCTGCACTGCCCACTCTCCCCCTGCTGAGCATTTTCGTCAACGTCTACTTGATGATGCAGATGACCGTTGGGACCTGGGCCCAGTTTGGAGTCTGGATGGTGATTGGTGAGTGCCTTTCTGGGGGAAAACAGACCTTGGGAGCCTGGGCTACTAGCCTTCCATCACCTTTCCTTGAAGCTGTCACAGGGGTGGGATCCTTGCTGGGCATTAAAGTGGAGGAGTGACTCCATTCCAGGACATTGTTTCACTTCCTTGCTAGGATTTGCAATATATTTTGGATATGGGATCTGGCACAGCCTGGAGGAGAATGAGCAGCAGCCGCCACCAGCCTCAAGCTCCCAGATTCTCCATGAAAATAACCCAGCACTGAATTAGTTTAACCACAGAGACCAAACTCTAGAACACTGCCGGTGTCTTCCGATTATGGGAAGTTTGCTCCTCTACAGACTGGGAAGGTGGGATGCATTTAGAATCCCATGTCTGATACCAGTCAGCAAAATGCTTTAAATCTGTTTTTATTTTTTTAGGAACACTGATTTATTTCTGGTGCTGGGGATGGAACCCAGGGCCTTGCACATGCTAGGCAAGTGTTCTACTGTGAGCTTCACCCTAGTCCCTTATTTTTTTAACAAATAAAATTGTGTATTTGTGGTACACAGTATGATGTTCTGATATGTGTGTGTTGTGGAATGGCTAAATCAGACTGTTTAACCTAGCAGTTCCCTCGCATACTTCCTCCCTCCCTCCCTTCCCCTTAATTTCTTTTTTTTTTGTGTGGCAGTACTGGGTTTGAATTCAGGGTTTCACGCTTGCTAGACAGGTGCTCTACTACTTGAGTCCATCCCCCAGGACTTTTTTGTGTTGGGTATTTTCAAGATATGAACTATTTGCCTGGTGCTGGTTTTGAACTGCTATCCTCCTGACTTCTGCCTCCTGAGTAGCTAGGATTACATGCATGAGCCACTGTCACCTGGCTATCTTCCCTAAGTTTTTGAGACAGTCTCTCTATGTAGTCCAGGCTGCCATGGGAACTTCTGATCCTCCTGCCTCTGCCTTTTACCTTTTTTTTTTGTGTGTGTGGTGAAAACATCTAGCGTCTACTCTCTTAGCAGCTTTCAAGTAAATCATTTGTATGAACCTGAAGGACATTATGCTAAGTGAAATAAACCAGGTATAGAAAGGGATGAATTCACTTATACCAGGAATCTAAGCAGGGGATAGAATGGTGGTTACCAGGGGGGCTGAATTAAGAAGTCAGTAGTCAAAGTAGACAAAATTCTTCTAGTTAGGAGGGGAATAAGTTCAGGAGATCTAATGTACACCAGGGTGATAAGAAAAGCCTTTAATGTATAGGCTGGAGATTTTCCTGCTTCAGCCTCCTAACTGGGATTACAGATGTGCACTACCACACCCAGCTTAATGTATAGTTTTTAAGTAAACATTTGCAAGTACTGTATAGGATGCATACAGAAAAGTGAACACTTTGTAAGTGTAGGTAACAACAATGTAACCAGCACCCACAGAAAGAAATAAAGTATTAGATTGTGCCTCATCTTTGTTAAAATCCAGAGATTGTCAGATTGGATTCAAGCATGTTGTGTCAAGGCTTGAAGTTTGTTTTTGCAGTGCTGGGGATCAAACCCAGAGCCTTCAGCAGGTTAGGCAAGTGCTCTACCACCGAGCTACATCCCCAGCCCAAGACTTGTGCTTTAAATAGCAGAGAAGAACAGCATGAAAGGGAAGGAAAAGTTGGTATTGTGGAAACAGAAACATAGGAAAGTTATGTTAGCTTTAGCTGGGGGTGGTGCAGGCCTGTAATCCTAGCACTTTGGGAGGCTGAGACAGGAGGATTGGGAGTTTGAGGCCAGCCTGAGCTACTTTGAAAGATCCTGTTCAAAAACTAAAACTGGGACTGGAGGCATGGCTCAAGTAGTAGGGTGCTTGCCTAGCAAGCATGAAGCCCTGAGTTCAAAACTCCAGTATTATTAAAAAAACAAACCAACAATACCAAAAACAAACAAAACCAAAAAACAGCTGGACGTCAGTGGTTCATGCCTGTAATTCTAACTACTTGGGAGGCTGAGATCGGGGGGAACATGGTTGGAGGCCAGCCCAAGCAAATAGTTCTCAAGACTTCATCTCCCAAAAAAACCAAAGCAAAATGGACTGGAGGTGTGGTGCCTGCTTTTAGAGTGCCTGCTTTGCAACTGCGAAGCCCTGAGTTAAACCGCAGTCCCACCAAAAAAAGAAAAAGAAAGCTGCATTAATATTAGACAAGGTTGACTTCAAGATAGGAGTAGAAGGATGAGAACCAAACATTACCCTCCTGTGGCTGACTCTCAGTTACACAATTACGCAATAGTTGATCTTTTTTTTTTTTTTTTTGCGGTGGTCCTGGGGTGGGGTGTTAAATTCAGGGCCTTGCAAAGATGCTTTATCACTTGAGCCAAAGCTCCCAGTGCTTTCTTATTATATTTTTCTGGATAGGGCCTCATGTTTTTGCCTGGGCTGGCTATGGAGCATGATCCTCCTACCTATATCCAGAGTACTGGGATTGCAGGTGGACACCACTATACTTGGTTTGTTGAGATGTGGTCTTGCTAATTTTTTGCCCGTCTGGTCTTAAACTCAATCCTCTTACTGTCTGCCTCCTGAGTAGCTAGTATTACGACGGTGTACGACGGCACCTGCCAACACCCCTGCCCCCACACACTTTTAAATTTATTTTTAATTTTTTTTCTTTTATTCATATGTGCATACAATGTTTGGGTAATTTCCCACACACTTTTTGAGACAGGGTCTTGCTATGTAGCACAAGCTGGCCTTGAGCTCTAGATCCTCCTGCTTCAGCTTCCGAGTGTGTGATTACAGGCATGTACCACCTGGCAGAAACATGGGATTAGGAGGCGTTAATTAAACTATTAGGATGGAAAGGCTGACCATCAAGGCAGTGATTTGCTGATCACTCTTGCCACACTGATGTGACACACAGCCTGGCACGTGCATCCCAATGTGCTATAACAGGCACAGGCAAGGGATAGTGTTGACAGCAGTGCTCTTTGTACAAGTATCAGTTGGCCAGTGTGAGGCCCCAGGCCACATGTACTCAGCTGAGAATACAGTGGTGCACGGGAGCTACATTCATTCACTTCAAGAAGGGTGTCTTTCACAGAGGTGATGCAACCTCAAGGTCAATGCTCAGATACTGCCAGCTCTCTGTACCACCTGCAGGGTCTATTCAGTCAACTGGGTTGAAAATATTTGGAAAACTGCATCTGAACATGTGCAGATTTTTTTCTTGTCTTTATTGCAGTATGAAAACTATTTACATAGCATTTGCATTGTTGGGCATTATAAGTAATATAGAGATGATTTAAAGTACATGAGGATATTTGAATCGGGTGCTGGTGGCTCAGATGTGTAATCCTAGCTACTTGGGAGGCAGAGATCTGGAGAATCATGGTTTGAGGCCAGCTGGGGCAAACAGTTTGATGGACCCCACCTCTAAAATAAATTGGAGGTGTGGCTCAAGCAGTAGAAAGCCTGCTTTGCCAGTGTGAAGTCCTGAGTTCAAACCCCAGTACCACAAAGAAAAGAATGACATGAGTATAAAACAGGGATTTTCTTTTTCTTTTTGGACTGGGAACCAGCCAAAGTGAGGAGGGCAAAAGGAAAGCATGGGCAAGGGTGAATATGATCAAAGTGCTTTATACACATGTATGAGAATAGAATAATGAAACCTGTCAAAATTGTCTAAGAATGGGGAGGGTGGATGAGAAAGTAACAGGTGAATTTGATCAAAGTATTACATGCATATGGAAATATAAAAATGATACCCCACTGTATAATTATGACAATAAAAATAGTAAAACAACCACCTCCAGGCAGATGTCTTGAAGTTGTGGGTGAGCCAAGTCCAACTGAGGCTAAAGCTGGCAATATTTTGGGCTTTTTACAAGTCAAAACACACCCTCCACACCACCCTCTTGGGCTGTTCTGAATTATTTTTCCTTCTTTTTGTGCAGGCAGGGGTTTGAACTCAGGGCTTTGTGCTTGCCAAGCAGGCACTCTACTGCTTGAGCCACATCTCCAGTCCATTTTGCTCTGGTAATTTTGGAGATGGCCATCTCTTGAACTATTTGCGTGGGCTGGCTTTGAAGCTCAATCCTCCCAATCTTAGCCTCCCAAGTAGCTAGGATTACAGGTGTGAGCCACTTGTGCCTGGCTGTTTTTGCTTCTTGAACTAAGGGCAGTGACCAAGTCAGTCTCCCCATATTTGTCAATTACCCCATCCACCCATGCTGTGTTCCTGTATCTCACTGCACTCACCTGATGTCTGCCCATTCTGTTCTTCTGCAGGTCTCACGCTGGATAGTCCTCACCTACCCCCCTCCCCACTCCTCACCTTCCTGCACCTCCACTGCTCCTCCCAATTCCTCTTCCCACCTCATTCTCCTTCTCTTCCCCTCTCCCTCACCTACCTGTTGGGAAGGGCAGTGCCATGTATGCACATGGCTCTTGGTGATGGGGACCCCCCCCCACCACCCTTATTCCTTTTGAAGTTAACCTAGTGTCTGTGGGAGAAGAGGGCACTGAATATGCCAGCTCCTGAGGATGACTGTCAGGTGTATGAAACCTAGTCCAGGAAGAAAGACCCTGAAACCTAGCTCTGGCACCCTATAGGACCCAAATTTTAATTTTGTTGGGACTGTCAGGGTTTTGCACTTGAAAAGCAGGTGCTTTCCCGCCTCCAATCCATTTTGCTCTGTTATTGTGTCTACTTATCTGTTATTGTGGAGATGAGTTCCTGAGATGAGGTCTCAGGAACTATTTGCCAGGGCTGGCCTCCAATAGCCATCTTCCTGATCTCAGCCTTGCAAGTAGCTAGGATTACAGGTGAGCCTCTGGCATCCAGCTAGGACCCAAATTCTTAACCAAACACGAAGGTGGATGTACCCAAGGACAAAGTAGGCCTAGCTGAGATGTGGTCCTAAGCCTGAGGTAATTCAAACATATGCCCTACTTGAGCCCTGTGTCCTTAGCCTACCTCCACAGGACAGCCCTGGGTTCCCAGCACACAGTCCCCATGCTGAAGCTTGTCTCCCTCGCTTTAGTATCTCCCAGGCTACCATGAGCATTCAGACCCTCTCCTCCTGCATAAAGTTTTTTCACTCTTTTGACACTTGGCCTTGAGTTCCATCTATTCCTTCCCAGACTGCTCTTCCAACCCATCCCAGCCCAGTTCCCTGAGCTACAGTTCTCTCTGCCCACATCATAGATACTCTGGGCTCTAGGCCTTTCCCCAAGACAATCCTACCCTCAATCCACACACATCTCAAGATTGCTCGGTTCCACCAAGTCTTTCTGCTCCCCCAACTTTCCCAGGGCTACTTCCCAGGTGGCCTCACCTCCCCACTGTGGACACTCGCTTGGACACCCAATAGTCCAGTTCAAATGTGACTTCTGAAATTTATTATTTATTTTCTTATTTGTAGTTGACAATTATATCACACTTATTTTTCACTTTTTATATTACATTTATGGAGTGCACTGTGATGCTTCAATACATGTATATGGCACAGAATGACTGGACTGAATTCACATACTCACCACCTCACTTATTTTTTGATAAGACATTTGAAATGCTACTTTCTTAGTTATTTTAATTTCAGGCATTCTGGTGACTGTCTGGTGACATCCGTTGTGGTTTTCCTTCACATTTCCTTGATGAGTAATGATGTTGACCATGTTCTCACTCACTCACTCACTGGCCATCTGGTGACCTTCTCTGGGGAGATGTCCCATCTTCTCCCTTTTAGTTGATTTGCTGTTCATTAAGTTGAGGGACTCTTACACTTCCCATGAGTCCTCTGTTAGGTGCACATAGTGTGAGTATCTTCCAGTCTGTCTTTTGCCTTCTTGCTCCATCTTAGTGGCATTGTTTCATAAACAGACTTTGGACTTTTGATGAGGCCTGACTTAACCTTTTATGTTCAGACCGCACTAAGCAACCACTATCTAACCTAAGATGGTCACGGCAATTTATTACACTTTCTCCTAGAAGTCTGACGCCTTCTGAACTCACTGCCCCCACAGGTGGTCTCGGAATAACTCACTACCAGCAACACTAATGGTAATGATCACAAGGACAATAAGTAACATTTACTGAGCTTACACAGTACTCCAGATACACTCTTCAAGGAGTTTACATGTACCAAACATTTAATTTCCACAATGTAGTTATCCCTATGTACAAACAATGCACATAATGTACATTTTACATATAGACAGTCCCGAATTACAGATGTTTTGACTCACAGTTTTTTCAACATTAAAATGGTGTGAAAGTATACCCAATACAACCACTGATTTTTGAACTTCATGATGATGTAAAAGCATATTCAATACAACCATTGACTTTTGAACTTCACGATGGTTAAAAGCATATCCAATACAACCACTGATTTTTCAACCTCACGATGGTGTAAAAGCATACCCAGTATTTTGAATTTCAGTGTTAAAGTGTACCCAATATAACCATTGATTTTTGAACCTCATGATGGTGTGAAAGTATACCCAATACAATCACTGATTTTTGAACTTCACGATGGTGCAAAAGCATACTCACAGAACCACTTTTTTTTTTTTTTTTTGCGGTACTGGGGCTTGAACTCAGGGCCTCACGCTTGCTAGGCAGGCGTGTTACCATCTGGGCCACTCCACCAGCCCTTTTTTGTGTTGGGTATTTGAGATAGGGTCTCTCGAACTGTTTGCCTGGGCTAACCTTAAACCTTGATTCTCCTGATCTCTGCTTCTCAAGTAGCTAGGATTACAGGCATGAGCCACCAGAGCCCAGCCTGGAACCACTGATTTTTGAACTTAACAAGGGTATTAAAGAGTACCCATACAACCACTGATTTTTTCACTTTCAGTGTAATATTCAAAAAATTACGAGACGTTTAACATCTTATTATTGGATAGGCTTCATGTTAGAGGATTTTGCTCAACTTAGCCTAACGGGAGTGCTCTGTGCACATTCAAGGTAGGCTAGGTTAAGCTAGGATGTTTGGTTGGTCATGAGTATTAAATGCATTTTTGACTGGTATTTTCAACGTCTGAAGGGAGAACTGAAGTGCGACCCTATGGTACGTGGAGGTGTGTAATGCGCAGGGGCGAAAAGCAGTTTGTGCATGTCTCATAGGGAGTAAGGACGTGGGGTGGTGACAGTGGCAGGGTATATGGCAAGAGTAAAGGCTTTGCCATATGTCACTCTTGCAGGGTTGTTCCTTAGAATGAACACAAAATATGATAAAGATGGAGTAGTATGGTAGGCTTTTGTGCATTCACTCCACAAACCCATTCAGTAAAAATGCCCAAACTGAATATGAGGCAATCAATAAGAAGAGTGACTCCATCCTCCCATTTGCCTCTAGTATGACTTCTGATAGTCCATGAGTGGGAGAATGATCAGTGAAGGTTTTCTTATGTTAAATTAAATCATGGGTTTTTCTCATGTTGAGGAAGGAATGAATGTAGGATAGAGCCCTTGGTATACTTTGTGTTCAGAAGGTTTTCAACTGTTATGAATCTTCAGATGTTCTCTAAGATGGTTTGCATGACTATATACCTTCCCACATTCCTTACATGGGTAGGATTTCACCATGTGTGTTTTCTGATGCTGTGTAAGCTGATGGCCATGACTAAAGGCCTTCCCACAATCCTTGCACTTATAGGGCTTCTCTCCAGTATGAATTCTCTCATGTTTGACAAGGCTCGACCCGTAAATAAAGGCCTTCCCACACTCCTTACATTTATAAGGCGTTTCGCCAGTGTGAATTCTCTCATGCTGAGTGAGGTGATAGCCACAATTGAAGGCCTTCCCGCACTCCGTACACTTATAGGGCTTCTCACCCGTGTGGATTCTCTCATGCTTAACGAGGCTTGAGCCCCAGCGGAAGGCCTTCCCGCATTCCTTGCACTCATGGGGCTTCTCACCGGTGTGAATCTTCTGGTGCTGAGTTAGGTAATTGACTCGAGTGAAGGCCTTCCCACATTCTTGGCATTCGAAGGGTTTCTCCCCTGTGTGGATTCTCTTATGTTGGATGAGACTGGAACCACAAATGAAGGCCTTCCCACAGTCTTTGCACTCATAGGGCTTCTCTCCGCTGTGAATCCTCTTGTGCTGAATAAGTTTGTATAGGCGGCTAAAAGTCTTCCCACAGTCCTTACACTCATAGTCCTTCTCACCAGTGTGGAACCGTTGGTGCTGGGTGAGCTCGTCACCACGTCGGAAGGCCTTCCCGCAGTCTTTGCACTCATAGGGCTTCTCACCAGTGTGAATTCGCTTATGAATGACGAGACTTGAGCCCCAACGGAAGGCCTTCCCACAGTCTTTACACTCATAAGGCTTCTCCCCAGTATGAATTTTCTGGTGCTGAGTGAGCTGATTACCCCAACGAAAGGCCTTCTTACATTCTTTACACTCGTAAGGTTTCTCCCCAGTATGGATTTTCTGATGCTGGCTAAGCTGGTAGCCGCGACTGAAGGCCTTGCCACACTCCTTACATTCATAGGCATGCTCCTTACGCGGCCGATGACGTCGTCTAGGACGTGGGTTTTCCTTATGAGTAGGTATTTTTTCAGGTGTTGTTACTTGGTTGAGATTTTCCTCCTGAGAGCCCTGTGGTTGCTCAGTCTCACTTTGACGCAGCCGTTTAAGGTGACGATATTTACTTTTGCTGCCTAACTTCCTTTTGCGAAAACTCATTTCTAAAGCTAACCCCTTAGGTATAAATGCTGACTCCAAATCTGGAAGAAAAATAATATATTTTGTTTCCCTTAAAGGAAAACCAAACCAAACCTAACCACAAAGCAAAAACGTCTGGCAGAGAATGATACTCCCGGTACCACAACAGTTAGTGAGGAAATACCGCAAGCATTTCTGCTAAAGCCCAATGGGAAAAGGGCACTGTTGGCCTTGTTTCCTGAGAGTTGACACAAGTAAGTAAAAGAAATCAGAGGAAAATCCCAAATGTGAAGATGATACAAGTATACTTTGTTAGCAATGTGATGACATACCTGAAAACCAAGAACATCAAATATAGAAGTGCTGTGAAAAGTAACAATGAAATCCTAATGTTTGTGGTAGCATGAATGACCCTGGATGAATATTAAGTGAAATAAGCCAGGCACAGAAAGACAAATGCTGCATGTCCTCCTTCAAGTGGAAGGTAAAAAATTTGATCTCAAAAGTAGCAGGCAGAATAGCAATTACCAGGGGCTTGGAAGGGAAAGGAGAGGGAGGTAGGGAGAGACTGATGAGGTAGAGAGAGACTGACTAATGGGTATAAAACTACATTAAGATAGGAGGAATAAGTTCCAGTGTTCCATAGTCTAACAGGGGGATGAAAGTTAATTATTGCATATTTCAAAGGCACAAGAGAGTATTTAAATGTTCTGACCATGAAGAAAGGATAAATGCCCTGGGATATAGAACTTTAAGAAAAAAATACAAGCTCAAAAATTATTTTTATTTTTCATTTATTTTGGTGGTACTGGGGATTGAACTCAGGGTCTTGTACTTGCTAGGCACTCTAACACTTGAACTATGCCCCTAGCCCCCTGATTTATTTATTTATTTGAGACAGGGTCTCACTATGTAGCCCAGGCTGGCTTTGAACTCAAGATCCAGCTGCCCCAGCCTTCTAAATGCTGGTGTGACGCATGCCTGGCTTCATTCGGTGTTTAACATACATTTCATGGACTATAACTTTCAACCTCAATTCAGGTACAATGTGCTAAAATGGAACCTGTTCACTTTGATTACAACACAAACTCTGTTTGTCCAGTCCACTCTACGTCACACACAGGCTGGTTTACTTGAGCAAATCAGGGACTATGACAAGATACATCACCAAACACTGTCAACAGCAATTACAAAGCATTCTCTGAGGTCAGGAAGAAGAAATTTAACCAATCTCTTGAAAGATGGTCTGAAAATCACACTGCAGAGCTGATATTCGAGGGAGCAGAGTCTATGTTACTTGAAGCACTCAACTTACCCAGTGAGACCAAGTTACTGTAGTTCTCCAACATCACATCCCAGTATAGGTCCCTCTGGGCAGAGTTCAGACAGGCCCACTCCTCCTGAGAGAAGTCTATGGCCACATCTGAGAATGACAACGAACCCTGAAAACATAAACCCACATGCTCCTGATGAGATGACAGGAAAGAACTTTGGGATGAAGGGAAGATACAGTGGTTACCCCTTGCACCCAATGAAGACAAATGAGTACATGATGGGGTACAACACTGCTGTATTCTGAAGAACTGTACTGCTGCATAGAAAATGACCTGTGCTCTGTCATTGCCAAAGATTCGAACCTGCCAGGGAAGAGGACAAAACAATTCAAGCTTTCCTTTCCTTTTTTTGGTGATACTGAACTTGAACTCAAGTCCTTGTGCTTGCTAGGCAGGCATTCTACCACTTGAGCCACAACTCCAATTCCAGAGCCTTCTTCTTGTTCACAAGCAGAGTTTGATAGTGCCTGCCTTTTAAATTCCCAGTGGTTGACTCTCTTTTTGAGTCACGGTTCTGCTGTGAAGTCCAGGCTAGCCTTGAGCTTGACTCCTACTGTGTCAGCCTCCCAGCGCTGGTCTTACAGATATTCACCATCACATATGACTTTCATCTTTCTGTCTCTCTCTCTGTACTTGGGATTGAACCTAGGACCCTGAACTTTCTAGGCAAGCGCTCCACCACTTGAGCCATGCCCAAACCACATCATCATTTTTTTTTTTTTAACCCTGAGATTTTTTTGCTTGTGATATCTTTTCTTTTCTTTTTATGCAGTACTGGGGCTTAAACTCAGGGTCTACACCTTGAGCCATTCCACCAGCCCTTTTTTGTGATGGGTGTTTTCAGATAGTTTTGTAAACTATTCGCCTGGGGCTGGTTTTGAATTGTGATACTCCTGATTTCTGCCTCCTGATACATTTTATTTTAGAAGACAGGGGTTGTATGTTTGAAGTTTTCAAATCTCAAGCATTTAAAGAAGTCTTCCTTTTGCAGTGAGAAAAGCTTTAAAAAAAATATTTCTTCATAAAGACCAGACAGATTCAAGTCTGTTATAGTCATACACCTAGGCTAAATGACACAGTTGAGGTCTTCCCCAATTCTAGGGGCGTATACTCTACACTTCTGCACTGGAAGGTACTGGTCACTATCTACTACCTTTTGTTGTCCTTGTTCCTGATGTAGAAGATACCAGTGTCAAATGACTGAGAATCATATGGAGGTCTGGCAGGTCCATTCAGTGACAAAATGTATCCCTCATTTTCCCTGCCCAAAGTGTGATCTCTGTCCATAGGCCCTAATCATAGCCCTAGTATCTAATTTGGTGCAATTCTAAAAGCCTCACAGAGCTTGCATCTCATCACATATTAAGACCAACAGATATGAACATTCCCTCCTATCTATCCACAAAACAGCCTCAGTGGAGAATCTTTTCTCTTGAGGTCAAATGGTACCAATGTATCTAACATGACTTAACATTTGCCTCAACAGACTTTGTTCCTTCGTTGCTCTAACCCTACTCTGGAGACAAACTGGAGCATGGAGGAGAGTGAATAATTTGTTCAATGACTGAGCAAATAGCCAAAACTGTGTAGACACAGTGCAATAGGGGTTTATCCTTCATTGGAGTAGGGCGAACGGGGAATCCAGTGAAGTTTGCTGAGGTCTGTGGCTTTGGATAATTCACTGCACTAGCCACAGACTTGTCACATTTCAAGGAGGAAAGAAACACACTTACATGGGCCATAGTTCTAGAACGCAAGACTTTATCAGTCATCTTGGCGTTTCCTCTTCAGAAAACACACAATCCAAAATATCAGCTACAAGAAGAAAGAGACATTTAGGTCAAATGTACTTGGATTTGCAAATGACTCGATATGACCTTCAAGCTCCTGTATCCTTGCTCCCATGTCCCCCCCACCCCACCATATACTCTGACACTTCTGATCTAGAGGACTGTGGAACAACAAAATTCTCCTAGAAACCTGGGGAGGCCTTAGACACTAGCACGAGGATTTCGAGGATTTCTGGCCAGCTCCCCGCTGGGGAAATGTGGGGGAGGAGGTTGAGATGTAGTAAAGAATTTGGCCTTGCCCGAAAAAGTCTGGCTTTTGCCATGATTTGGAGAGGTAACATATGTCATACCTGGTTGGAATGCTTTTCTTTGTTTCAGGTGGGGGCTGACCACGCTGGAAAGATCAAACTGGTGATTCAGGGTGAAGGTCTTGGGTCACAAAGTGTCAGTCGACCTGGAGACTGAGATTACCCATACAGACGATCCATCAATTATGCCTATGTGCTGAAGCCCCTAACGATATTGAAGGTCAAAGCTTGAGTGATACAAGGGAGGGGTGAGGATAGGTAAGACACCTAAAAAACTAGACAGCATTTTTTGCCCTCAATGCAGAGAAACTAAAGCAGATAATTTAAAGCAACTGAAGCCAATAGGAAAAGGGGACCAGGAACTAGAGAAAAGGTTAGATCAAAAAGAATTAACCTAGAAGGTAACACACACGCACAGGAAATTAATGTGAGTCAACTCCCTGAACAGCTATCCTTATCTCAACTAGCAAAAACCCTTGTTCCTTCCTATTATTGCTTATACACTCTCTTCAACAAAATTAGAGATAAGGGCAAAATAGTTTCTGCCTGGTATGTCTCAGTTATAAGTGAGATAATCTATCAAAAACATGCAATAATATACAATGATTAATCTAAGTTTGCCGTTGTATGGGAGATCGAGAACATTATACATCCATTTAAGTTTTGTATTGTTTTGGTGATGCTGGGGGTCACAGTAGGGCCTTTCACATGCTAAGCAAATGTTCTACCACTGAGCCACATTCCAAGGCCCCCTCAAGGCTACCTCCCCCCCCCTTTTTTTTCCTCCTTTTATCATTTTTACATTTACTTACATGTGTATACATTGTTTGTGCCCACTTCCTCCCCCACTCCCCAGTTCTGGGCAGAATCTGTTCTACCCTCTTCTCTGATTTTGTTGAAGAGACAACATAAGAGATAATAAGAAAGACACAGCGTTTTTGCTAGTTTGGGATAAAGATAGCTCTTCAGAGGTTCCCAGCATTGCTTCCAGGCACTTGTGTATTGCAACCCACATGGTTTATCACTACCAGACCTCTTTGCTACTTCTTGGTCCCCTTCCCTGCTATTTTAAGATTACTTTATTCACTCCTCAACAGGGAACACATCAACCACATTCAAGTTTCAGGTTTCCTTTCCTTTCCGTATTTCTCCCATGCGAGTTTTCACCTTAGTGTATGACCTATGTCCAATAATATTACTGCATATGTTTTGGGTCTATAATCTGCATATGAGGGAGAGTATGTGATTTTTGGCCTTCTGAGCCTGACTGACTTCGCTTAAGATGATGTTCTCTAGTTCCATCCATTTACTAGCAAATGACAAAATTCCACTGTGTATAAACACCACATTTTATTAATCCATTCATCAGTAGTGGAGCACCTTGGCTGTTTCCATAGCTTGGCTATTGTGAGCAGTACTGCAATAAAGCTACTCCCTCCCACCTTTTTGAGACAAATTCTTGCTATACAGTTCAGGTTGTCCTCAAACTTGTTGCTATCCTTCCACCTTAGCCTCCTGAGTGCTGAGATTATTGGTGTGTACCACCATGCCTGGCTCCCTTTAAAATTTTGTTTTTTGTTTTGGCAATGCTGGGGATTGAACTCGGGGCCTCAAGCTTGCTAGGCAAGTGCTCTACCACTTGAGCCACACCCCCAGATCTTTTACTTTTAGTTCATACTTTAGATAGGGTCTCTCAATTTTGTTCAGGCTGGCCTTAGACCTCAATCATCTTTCCAACACTTCCAGAGTAGCTGGGATTACAGGGTGTGCGTCACTATGCCTGGAGGTTTTTCTGTTTTTGGTGGGATTGGGGTTTGAACTCAGGCTTCATGCTTGCAAAGCAGGCACTCTATCACATGAGGCTCACCTCCAGTCCATTTTGCTCTGGTTATTTGAGATAGGGTTCTCGTGAACTATCTGCCTGAGCTGGCCTTGAACTGCAGTCCTTCCAATCTCAGCCTTCCATGTAGCTAGGATTACAGGCGTGAGCTACCGTGGCTTGTGATGTAAGGTCTCAGTAATTTGTCTGGGTTGGCTTTGAACCTATCTCTGCTTCCTGAGTACCTGGGATTACAGGCAGGGATTACCTGCTCCTTTTTTTCTCCTTGAGACAGGGTCTTACTATGTAGCCCAGACTGGTCTTGAACTTGTGATTCTCCTTGCCTCAGTCTCCTGGCTGCTGGTATCACAGGCCTGCACCACTATTCTATGGCCAGCTCTCCCTGTTTTTCTTATGCTAAAGTTTGTGCTGATCAAACCTGTTGTGTATACAATCAACATTAACTTGAAGCTTTCAGAGCTGAATCTTAAGAGTGATTTTTTTGGATGGGACTGAGTTTGAACTCAGGGCTTTGTGCTTGCTTAGGCTGGTCTTGAACCAAATCCTCTAGATCTCAGCCTCCCAAGTAACTAGACTACAGTTGTGAGTCACCAGTACCTGGCTAAGAACTACTTAAACGTTAGCAAAAAAAGATTCTATGTCATGTGAAGGAGAAAATGCTACCTCTCTACACGTAACCAATCAAGCTTAGAGACTCTAATCTCAGAAGATGCTAATTTGAAAACAGGAGCAAAAGGTTGTGTCTGGTATTCTATGGGATATGGGAGACATGAAATTTTTAAACTGTTGCCATCTTTTTCTTTTAACTTGAAAATGTTACACAGTCCATATTTGTTACTTGCATATATATATATATCTTACAGATATTATTTCCAGTCCTTATCTGTAAAGTACCTAGTGAAACTGCAGTAATCATCAGGAAATACTGTCATATTCTACGAAAGAAACATTAACATCCTAGAAAATCTGATTATCTAAGAATCTTTTAAATCATTTGTTGCCATGGATTACTGTCAAATGGCATATTTGGAATCCTACAAGGTAAATACATGAGAGAGATTTCAAAGTATGAGAAAGATCACACCCTCTGACCCCCCAGCCTTCCACCATGCACACAGGTATAATGTGACCCATGACTGGGTTAGATTCCTTTTATTTTTTTGTGGTGCTGGGGATGAATCTAGGGCCCTGTGCAAGCTAGGCAAGTGCTCTACCAGTAAGCCAGATCCCCAGGCTCTTCTAAATTGAAATCCTACCCCAAGTAATGGTACTAGCAGTGGGGGCCTTTGAGTGGTGATTGGGTCATCAAACAAGATATAGTCTTCATGAATGACATCAGTGCCCTCATAAAGAAGATCCCTTTCTATCATAACAGGACACAGCAGCAGAGGGCAGTCTGCAACCTGAAGGGGGCCTCACAAGAATCTGATGGTGCTGTTACCCTCTTCTTGGCCTTCCAGCCCCCAGAACTGTGAGAAATAAATGTTTGTTTTAGCTGTTCAGTCTGTGGTATAGCTGCATGAATTAAGACAAGACAAAATTAAGGAGTGTGTGCAGAGGATAGAAGAGAGTCCAAATTCTCTCAATAAGGGCTCAATAAATGTGGCCACTCTCCTCTTCTCCTTCATTGAATAATCAAGATGTCACTGGATTAACTGTCACAATAAATGAATTTCTTAACATCTGCATGCATACTATTATTTATAACTCTTAGTATTGCTTAACATTTTGTCACTGCACTTCCTCCTCTCATGGTTACCTTTAAAGTTCCCTGGTATGAATGTGATATAATTTACTTACCCATTTCAATCATCCTGAACACTTAATTACAGTCAAAGTAATAATCTGTGTTTTCATACCAACAGGTCTTAGTCATTTTGGGGCAGTACAACCTTCTTTTTTTGTGGGACTAGGGTTTGAACTCAGGGTTTCATGATTGCAAAGCAGGTACTCTACCACTTGAGCCGTGTTTCTAGTCCATTTTGCTATGGCTATTTTAGAGATGGGTGGGTGGGTGGGGGTCTTGAGAACTATTTGCCCTAGCTGGCCTTGAACCGTGATCCTCCTGATGTCTGCTTCCCAGGTTAGAATTACAAGTATAAGCCACCAGCACCCAGCTAGCACAATCTTCTTAATGCCATGAAATTATAGAATCTCTCCTCAGAGGAAAAAAAAAAAAACAGTCCCCAAAAAACAAACCACACTGACAAACATTATTATATAATAATATATACATTACTGCAGTATAATAAACTTATTGTGTAAGTATGTATAGAATTTACCTCAAAAAGCATTAAATGGACTTAAAGGAAAGATTTCAGGTTAAGGATTCTATACTAGACTACTTGAGGTTCATTTTGTAAACCTCTCAGTACCCATCAGTTACCTTCATGTTTGTTGCTCATGATGTATAAACACAAAGCAACCACAGTTAGTCTTTTTCTGAGCACTTACAGTCTAGGGAGGCTGCTACATGGGGTTTAATATATTCATGCTTTATATCCTCATCACAACCCTATTTGCAGAAAGCTCAAAAAGGTAGGAAGAGGAAGGGGTAGGACTGAAATGCTGGTAGTCTACATCTCTGTAAGTAGAAACCACCCAATTAAAAGAAAAAGAAACTCACTTGAATCTTAATTTAGGATGTGTAACAGTTCTTCCTACTGAGAATGAGGTCTCTTCAGCTGGCCTGGGGGAGAGAGGATAATGAGACACAATGGACCACACGCTATATCAGAAAATACACTTGGAGGCACAGCTGTACCCACCACAGAAAAAACCAGAAACAAGAGGGCTCTGGATCTGAAACAGGTTCTGAAATATGTACCTGCCCTCTTCCCTACCTGTGATGTCAGGGACCTCTCCCCCCGAGTTCTGCTGAGGCCACCTTCCATCACTGAGGTAGCCTGCCTGGCTCTGAAACTGTCACCTTGTGACCCTGTTTTTGTCCTCCGTGGTCACTTCCACTACAGGGCTCGGGCTGTGACGTCCCCTGGAGATGCCCGCTCTCGGCAGGTACCGCTGGGTTGGCAGGGGAGACAGAGAAGCAGCAGAGACGCGGGAACTGCAGCTTACAGGCACTTTCACACACTTGTGCCCACCCGAGAGCCACGCATTCACAGCCGCACTGACCCGCGCCCACCAGCCTCACCACGCAGCGCCACTGGGGAGTCTCCTCGGTTCCCGCCCTCCGCGAAGCGGGAATCTCCCGTGCCACCTGTGGCGCCCACGAGGACCGCGCCTCCCAGCCACACTTCGCGGATGCCCACGCGGTCCGGGCTGCACACACCTGTGTCGCAGTTATGGAAGGATGCGGTGGTCAGCCCCACAGCCGCGAGCAAGTGCGTCAGAGTTAGGGCTCTCCTGCGACCCCGGGCCCCCCTGCTTACCTTGCTGCGCAGTTGAGACAACAGCAGGCTGCGCCAACGACGGATGCTCGCTAAGCCGCCCCCAGGGCCCCAGTGACTAAACTGGCACACATGCGTCACCGTTACCGGGACAGGGCCCGGCCGCGTCAGTGCTGCCCACCCACTCCTTCGCAACAGTGTCACGCGCGGTTCCCTCTACCCCGACCCAGGACAACGCGCATGCGCACACTACTTCTGCCGAAGAAGCGACCCGGGCACCAGAGCAGCACACGCAGACATGCGCGCGCACATGCCTCGAACGCGCACACTCCAATTTCTGTCCTGAGCTTCACCTAGAGCATGACGCACCAGCAATCTCTGTGAGCCCCCTCAACCCACAGCATGTCGCCCCCGCTGGCAAGCCAACAGCTCCGGTACCCCGCTCTCCCCTGACGTCAGAAGGGGCCCAAGGATGAGCAGAACGCGGCTGTATCCATGGAAACCAGAGACTGAACACCCATGTCCCAGCATGCACCGTGCCACAACGGCCGAGCCTAGAGGCCTCTGGGAAACGTAGTCCAAGCTGCTTCACAGGCTGGGCCTGGGGTCTGCACGTGAGATCCGGTGAGGGGGGTCGTGGTCTTGTGAACATCACGCTCCCTGCATGCAGCCCTGGCCGAGTGACCAGTCTGCATCGTCCAAACGTGACTGCTTTTCGATGTCTAGTTGGGGGCGCTAGACAGCGCCTGCCAGGTGCACAGAGCTATATTGAGTCCACATGTGTGTGTGTACACGTGAAGTCAGCGATGGGAGGTAGGAGGACCGAAGGCGCCCATTTGTCAACTGCACCTCCGCGTCCGCCTATGGGTTTCTCTTGGATCAAGAGTCCAACACGCTGAGCACCAGGATGAGATGCCCGGTCTGGACTGTACTTGTTCCTGAACAATTCGGCATAATGACGACGTACACAGCATTGCAACGTATTAGGTACTAATTCTGGTATCCACCAGGGTCCTGGCACCCATTTACCTAGGATATGGGCTGGGGGGCGGCTCTGTTCCTGTTTTAGCGACAGCCAACTTAACATACGTAAGCCTGTATCATCTTTTAAATTTATTAAAATGCAGTTCGTTTCTCAAAAGACAGAGCATTTCTTTGATGTTACTTCTGTGTGTGCATCCTTGACTTGTGGAGAATACTCAGAATATGGCAACTTTGGGTTGATCTGCTGATTGACTTTCCTGTCACTTGGCGATGCCTAAAGCAACGATCTGGCATCTATGTGTGCCCACACTGTGCAGCTGACTTCAAAAGTCCCAGGCCAGGGCCTGCAGACACTGAGCTATCTCCATGCTGGGAATGGACTGAGGATGTCATTCTGAACTTGAGATGGCCTTCAGAAGAGCTGTCACCCTGCCTGCTAAGTCTGCATTTGTGTTGATCACATTAGATAAAACGCATGAGGAGTGAGATTTGGAGAAGGTCCGTTCATGTCCACATAGCCTGTGTTCAACACTTGGTCAGGACCTGACACATGTGCGTGGTGAGAACCATGTTCCTTCCCAGCACCTCTTGGTCAGCACTGGGAATCTGCCTGGTCTCCACTGGTGGCTGCCTGGAGCTGCTTCTGTTCAGAGTCCTGGCTGGATTGCAGACAACATAACAGCACAGCTATGCCTCTTGCACTGTTCTCTCCCACCAGGAAGTAACATCCACCAGGCCTGGCAGGTTGTGGGCACTGAGCAGGGTTGGATTTTGAGTCAATATTTTATGTTTTGAAAATTATCCCAAGAAAGTAAGTATAGTAGTTTACAAACATATGCCTAAGGATTTTATTTTCTTTTTGGTGGTACTGGGGTTTGAACTAAGGCCTCACACTTGTAGGCAGGTGCTCCACCACATGAGCTACTCTGCCACCTCTGCTTTGTGTTGGATATTTTCGAGATACGGTCTTGAAACTATGTGCCCGGGGTTGGCTTCCAGCTTCGATCCTCCTGAGTAGCTACAATTACAGGCATAAGCCACTGGGGCCCTGCTGCCTAAGCATGTTTAGTGAATATATTTTGTTCAGTCAAAGTCTGTCTTTCTCTTTTGTGTGTGTTACTTGGGTTTGACCTTAGGGCCTACATCTTGAACCACTCCAGCAGCCCATTTTTAAAAAAAAATTTTTTTTTTTTTTCAAGATAGGGTCTCTTGAACTGTTTGCCCTGGCTGGCTTTGAACCATGATCCTCCTGATCTCTGCTTCCTGAGTAGCTAGGATTACAGGCGTGAGCCACCAGTCAAAGTTTTTCTTTTGGAAATTATTTATCAATACTTACTGAGATGGATCTTCCTTATGTTGCTTCAGGCTGTCCTTGAACTCCTGGACTCAAGTAATCTTCCTGCCTTTGCCCTCCCTGAGTAATTGGGGCTGTAAGCACCTACCATGTACACCTAGAACTTCCTTTTAAATTAAGAGAATTATAGATAATATGTAGCTGTAAGAAATAATACTGAGAGGTCCTATGGATCTTTCACCCATTTATGCCCATTGGTATTATAATGTAATATCATATCTAAGACTATAACATTGATATAATTCATTGATCTCATCCAGATTCTCTAGTGTATATTAAAAAAAGAAAAACAAAACCCCAGAAAACATCTTACGGTAGGGGTCAGGGACAGAATAAATAATGGCCTGATACGTAGTGACACAGAATACGTTTACAAACAATGACATTCCTTTTTTTCCCCTGAGACAAGGTCTTCCTATGTAGCCCAGGTTAGCTTCAAACTTGCCATCCTCCTGCTTTAGCCTCTTGAGTGCTGGGATTACAGACTTATACTACCATATCTAGCTCAAGAAGGTCTGTTTTAAAAAGATATTTAAGTAACTTGGGTGAAATGTCTTGGTGAAATTAGAACCACAGGCTCTGATTTTCACATGTGAACCTGAGTTCTGATGGTTACTAACTTCACAGTGAGTTTCCTCATTAGTAAAATTACAGTGCAGATCCTTATGAGCTATTGAGATAATCTACATAAACACTCAGAATATGTCACAATTATTTACTACAAATTAGCTGTTGCTATTAAACACCAGTACCATTACACATTCCTTAATCTATTTTTATAAATGAAATGCTAGCCTGCTGTTTCTTTTTTCTCTTACACAGATATATATGCTTCTTAAACCAGCTGCCAATATAATGACAGCTTTCAGAGCCTGATGTCAAGAATAAGATTCTCTTTATTTAGCAACATTGGCAAAAAAGATTGTATGACATACAAGGAAGAAATTTTCTCTCTCAGAGCAAGCAGGGGGCAGAGTTGTGATCCCGCATCAGAAATTGAGCTCAGTGACCAGTCAGTGAAGATGCTAAATTGAGAACCCTGGCAAGAGGCTGACCGTGTGCTCCCTCTGATATGGGAGGTTTATGCGAAAACGTTTCATTATAGACAGCTTACTTGTTTTTCACCTATCTGGGATTGCTACTTGTGCAATGCATATTTTTAAGTCACCAGGCACCTGTGATTAGTGAAGTTTTTTCTGTCTCTTGAGAATCTAGCTTCTTTCTCTGAGACAAACATGAAAATCCTAGGAAATCTAATCCTACAAGCTTGTAGCTTTTGGTGTTTTAGTGTGGAATTAGTTCCAAATGATACACTTCTAATACTTTAACTTATAGTATACGGGTGGCTTTTCAACAGAAGACAAAGACACTGGCCTGGCTGCCCTTCCCACACTCATATAGGTATAATGAGGCCATAGCTGGGTAAGATTCCTCTTACAATCTATGGTTTGGAGAGTTTACCTCATTTACATGCTCAGGACTCAATGCCCCAGGAACACACGCACCAAAATATTAAGAGTTATCATCTGTGCATCGAATACTTATGGGCGATTTTGACATTCTTTATGAGCTCCTCAGGGAAATGAATTGTTTTGCAGCTTTCAGCACCAATCCCATTACAAGCAACGTAAGTTAAAGGAATCTCAACTAAAAAAGAAAGGATTGACAAGGAAAAATGACAATTACAGGGGAGACGGTATGGAGTAGTCACTAAGGAAAATCTAATGACAAGGCCTGTGGTGGGTAGAAGCACTCACTGTCTCTGAGAGATGTTCATGTCTCAGTTATGGAAACTGGGAATATGTGATGTCACATGGAAAGGGAACTGCGTGTGGAGATGAACTGTATTGCTAACCAGATACCCTTTAAGACTGAGCGCACATCCAGAACTATCTTGGTAGGCATCATAATGGTCTTCACGCTTGATAGGCAGGCAATCTACCACTTGAGCCATACTGCCAGCCCCAACTGGTGGTGTTTTAAGCCACCAGTTCTGTGGTAGCTTAATTTGTTACCCCAGCAAAGGAAAACGGCCACAAGCTCTAATATCATAAAACTGTGACTAAACAGAATGTCTTCTCCCTCAACTTGAATATCCTTT